GAAGAGAAGAGAAGAGAAGAGAAGAGAAGAGAAGAGATGAGAGGAGAGGAGAGGAGAGGAGAAGAAAGCTAGAGAAAAGACATTGCATATGGCTGAGAGTCTGAAAACGTGTGAAGACTTGCTTAAAATTTCATTTAACACCAAAACTAATTATCAGAAAAAACTATGAGACAACCAAGTCCCGAGGGGTGAATAGTCATAAATATACATAAGGAATATGACCAATATTGATCGAATCAGAATTTTTGAGACATAAAACTTGTATCGCAAAAATTTTTGACAATCATTATTCATTAGGTTTTCACTAAGTGTGAGTTGTATTCAAAGCAACCACATACTTAGCTCAGGCATAGAACACATTCAAAACAAGAGATCCAACCATGTAGACTAAATATAGCGATGACTGAACTACTTTCATTTCGATAAGAATGGAATTTCAGTCCATCCATCAAAGTAATTGATAAATATTGTGAAGGGGGAGTGACGTCAATGAACAAGCCGTGGCACGTGACTTCCTTCATCTAACTTCATCTATGATTATTTAATTTCGACCACGTCGCGCGCTTCCTCGAGCAAAATATTGTGAGAAAAATAGAGAAAACTTAATAAAATGATGAATATATGATCCCTGTGTATCCTAATAATATTCACTAATATTTTGCCTATTTTAAGACTGAAGAAACAGTTAGTAATTCACCTTATTTAAAAACGAAGATCGTGATGAATATATACTGGAAAGCAAGAGATAAAATAATCTCTAGTCTGAGTTGTATTGTATTTGATATCGTAATGATTATCATAATATTTTTCTATCGAAATGAAAAATGCATTCGGTAATCCATTATTTATATTTGTTGTAGCACTTAGCCAAGTACAGTCCCCCTACATAGTAAGACTGGCAATATAGTTTCTCCAAACGTTTGTGTGTGTGTGTGTGTGAATCAATGTCAATGTTTGCCCTTTTTTAGCGCCAGTTGTGGATCTTCCCTCAAGTGCTTTCGTTTTTCTTTCTTTCTTTCTTTCTTTCTTTCTTTCTTTCTTTCTTTCTTTCTTTCTTTCTCTTCTTCTTTCTTTCCTTTTTCCTTTCTTTCTTTCT